TTAGGTGACAACTTCTATAAATAGATCTGTTTAAAAAATCCGTTTTCAAAACATCTTTCCAGGCCATGTAATTTAATTATTGTCTAGGTGACTAAGTATTATCCCCTAGCCAAGAAGCTCTGGAAAAGCTATTGTAGTGAGAATTCAAGACAGAAGGCATATTTCTCAAGTGTAAGGGAAAGCTGTGGAAGAGAAATGCTGTTGCTGAGTTAGTCTCCTTTAAAAAAAAAAGGAAAGAGAGATTTTAAAAAACCTTTATATAGATTACTTGGCAACAGTGGCTGTTGCTAGCCTTTCATCTCAAAAACAGTCTTAAAAATAAAGAGATAACCTAGCAGCTATCTGAAACCAGAAAAACAAATCTCCCCTTCAGAAGATTCATCATTGCTGCAACAGTATGGATGGCTCTGTACAAGTTCATGTAGCAAAATTCACTGCACACCAAGGCCTGGGTTTTCTTTTCTTCTTTTTTTTCTTTTTTTCAATTCATTTTTTTTTTAAGCTTTTACATCATTATTCTTTTTTTTTTTTTAAGATTTCTTTATTTATGCATACAAGAGCTGGGGCACAGGCCAGAGATGTGGGGGCAGGGAGAGTATGAGAGGACTCACCAGAGACAGAGCGGTGAACAGAACAGGCAGACTGACTGAAATACACTGCTGAGGGGAGCAGCAGGCGAGACAGTAGAGGTCTGCCTCGCCACCCTCCTTAGCAGGCCAGGGATCGAATTTGTGCTGCAAAGGTTGCGGATCGCTTCATAGTACAGTGCTGAACCCCTTGTGCCACAAGGGAGGCCCTCATTGTTCATTTTTAAACAATATTTGCTTCTCCCCACCCCCTCAAGTGTAGTCCCCATAGAGTTTCCTTCATTACAATTCACCTGTGCACCATCACCTGTGGGTTTTCTTTTCTTAATGCTTACTCTTCTTGCTTCTACAGAAAGAAACAAGATTCTGGATGGTAATGCTGTTTTGAGAATCAATAGGGAAACTTGATAGTCAGGATAAGCAAAAGCAGATTAACACCTTTGTTTGTTTGGTGGTTGGTATTTGGTTTGGCACTTGGTAGTTTGACACATTAGCAGCTTAATAGCTATTTTTTGTGAAACTTATGACCAAATAACCAAACAACTCAAGCATTTAGGTACTAGTGAATTCATTACATGCAATAAATTTGACAAAAATCTATGTCACAAGAAAGGATATGTCAAATGATGGTATTGTCATTAAAAAAAATAAGCAGAAGAAGCAGAATGCAGTCACTAAATTATAAACTATATTTTAAATAAACCAAATTCTGTCATTTATCATAGACTAAGAACTTTTTTACTATATTGTAGAAAGGGGTCCACAATAATTCACAGCACCATATAATTATTTGTGGGGTTTGGGTTTTTCTTTCTTTTTTTTTTTCAAACAAATAATCTTAAGAGATACCTTAAGAAACATTAATTTTTTTTTAACACATTGTGTACCTTTTGAAATCAAGTGTGTAGATTTATGTTCCTCACAGAGAGGTCTAGAAAAGGTAACAGAAGAAAGCTTGAATCAACTCAATATCACAAGCAATTTTCTGTGGGTGCTGTTCAGGTTTATAGGAACTGCAGAGGTAGCATGAGTCAGGGAGGTATCTGTTGTCCTGATAGTCATCACTCTTTTTAATTTCCTAATTACTTTTTACAGTTGTCCACCACTAGTACTTTATTTTCTGTCACTAATTCACTGTGGGAAGCAAAAAGATTAAGGTGCATAAAAAAGATTTCTTTTTTTAAAGAACTAATAAGACATAAAATCTTAGAAATCTGACTTAGAAAAATTTAGTACAAAAGGAACCTGGAGACTCTACTTGCAGCACAGGTATTTTCTGGGAAATGGTATTTTGCTAACCTAGAAATCATTTCTGGTGCTCCAACCCTAGAGGGGAAGATGTATGTGAAAAATTATTTTGTAGGAAAACTCAGGCTTCCTCTTTGTTTCTACAACTTCCCTGATATTCTGTTTCCAGAAATGACAGTTGCCATTTCAATTTGCTTAAAAAATGTTTTTAATAAAAATTGTACCACCACTCCATAAAAGATTTCCCAAAGTCACAATAACCCCAACTACTAAGTGGATACTGTCTCCTCTAACACCTGCTCCCCAACCAGCACTCTCTCTTATACCTTTACCCCTTCCAGACTTCAACCTTGACCCCATTCTCCTTTGTGTTCTTATCTATCTTCTTAATGCCACTGTGGACATAATTAGACTTTGAGACAATGATCCTTGCATGCACTTAATTCAATTAAATGGTGGGTAGTAACCAGTTAATTGCGAGTCAAAAGTCAACAGTGTGTATTGGCTGTCTCTCTATACACCTTAAAGATTAGGATCCTGACCCTAGGAAAAAGTGGGAGTGCTCACATCAGATAATTTGAGCTAATAAATGATACTCAGCAAATATTAATTTGGATTATTACTAAGGGAGATCAAATAATTTATCCAAAAAAATACTTTCAGGACTTAATGACGTTGATGACTGATCATGACCTTTCACTAGTATAAATATAATAAATCTATCTCTACCTAGGTATCTATTTTTATTTTCTGACCCCAAGACAATCTTCCCATCTATACATATTCCTGGCACATATGAAAGATTTACCATCCCTCTCCTAGCATTCTAAAACTCCTCTATGGTGCTTTCCAGAAATATGAAAAATAAAATGGCCTTTGTAATGGAGTTTTTCTTTGCCATGTTTTCCCAACTCAACTGATATTACAGAGAAACTACCCAAAAGCATAACCAAATATGAGAGAAATACTTACAGGGTTTTTAAGTAGACCACCATTTCAGTTTAAATAGGTCATCTTTATAGTCTCACAGGAAACTGAAGTGGGATAGTAGTTATAATTATTATCACAGGTTGTTTCAAGGATTGAATACATATAAATTCCCTTGTCACATCATGAGCAATACATGTTAGCAATTATTGTATTATATTATAATACTGATTAACCTATGGTAACTGGAAACTTCAATTATCTAGACACTGGCAGTTTTCAGCTTGAAGACAAAAAAAAAAAAATCTAATAAAACCGCCAACTGCATAGTTTAGTGTTTTTTTGTTTTTGTTTTTGTTTTTTTTTTTTTGCTGTTACTCATCCATTCTGGTATATTTTGTTTCAAAAACCCAGAGCAATATTCTCCAAAATCAAAATAAGACTTTGTTCCCAAAGTTGAGGCTTTATGTTAAAATTATTTTAAAGAATTTAAGGTACACCTCACAGGGACAAATTAATTAAGAGTTTAAATTTTAAATGATTGGAAATAAATGTAGGTGAAAGATTAGATTATTATGTCTCTTTAAAGGAACAAAACGGTATCTTTTTTCAGCGTAAAGTCTTCAAGTAAAAATATTTTAAAGTTTTTGAAGGTAAGTAGAGAGAAAGAAAAGAAAAATATGAAATGCTACAGTTTTATAGTTGTATTTGACTCAAAATGTATAGTGAAAGGAAAAGCCCTAGAAAATTTTGAGTCATTAATAAAGAAAGGAGAATTAACAGATTCTTTGTAAAAAGAAACACCTCTGGAGCTAAGCACAGAGGGCAAGACAACAGGGAACCAAAGGGAAAGTAACCGGGTAATGACTTTGAATTACATTGAGGATTCAGAACTTTCAGTGTAATTCCTAGAAAAAACCCAAAGGACAATTTCAAGTTAGAGTTTTAAATGGACTAGAACCAAATGGAGGTAAGTAAGTAAAACTAAAGTGTTTTTCTTAAAGGCAGAAACCTCCTCTGACCCTAGGGTTCAAATAAAGTTTTAGATTTTCTGTTTCTCTGGCTTGATAGGCTTGGGGGCTAAGCAAACCATCAATGAAGAAAATGCAATTCTCATCTAGAGGCAAAGGCACTGTGAGGCAAAGGCAGTGCTCTGGGTCCATATGTGGAGCCTAGTGATCTCACAGTGAAGTATACTCTATTGATTATGTACATACCAGTTTCCTTAAAGGGGCTATTACTGTTAAGACAGTTGACAGCTGTTTGCTGGACCGGCACTCCCTGCTCATATTTTCATTTCATCCTTCCACTGACAGACATAAATGGAAATACATAGTGAACTGCCTGTTTCCTCTTTAATTTTAAAAAGGAATAAGATACTCTGCATTTTAAAAAAAGCATCACATAAAATAGAGTAGTGAAGGCAAAGAAAAAGGGATGACAATGAGAGCAGCCTGATGCTAAATCTAGGTAATTTTTCCCAACTATAAGCAAAGTGGTTCCATCGCCTATGTGATACCCAGAAGAATTCTGATATCCTTTCTACAGTAAGGCAATGATATAAATCAGTCAGCCACTCAATTAGTCAACCTTAACAAGTTTAGAATAAACTTTCTGAAATGACTGATGTAATTATTACATCTATCACTTGTAAAAATTAACAGGTTTTAGGTTTTTATCAGTCAGAAAACAGTATAGATGTAGAAAGATATATTTACTTAAAAAGTCTCATTTTTCCCCCTGGAATTTGCTTTAAAATATTCCATGCACCCCACAAAAAATAGAAGAGAAAAAGACTGCGGCAATGTTTACAATTAATGATGCTGGATAATGGTTACGTATGCAGGAACTCGTTATCATTTAGCTGAAATTTTCTACAGCAAAAACTTCTCTTTTTTGGTTAACACATAATTGAAAAACTAAATTCCCATCATACTGTCACTTGACCAGGACAAGATAATTTTTTTGATTATAGGTAGCAAAGTTTAATTTAAATCAAAAGCTTGATTACAGTACTATATTTAAATTGAAAAGCAATGAACTTAGACTTTAAAGGAAAATAACTTGGGGAAATGTTTACAATGTGACACTATATTTACCTTTTAAAAACCATGACACAATGATGTAGATATGTATGATACCAACTATGTAAAAAATAAAAATATAAATACCTGAATACAAAATAGGAAATACATCAAAATGAAAATTTCTGCCAAGAGGAAGAAAGACTGTACTTACTTTAACCTCTACCATCTTCCCTCCACGTTCAATGTGTCTCTCTATGTATTCAGAAGACAGCAAATCACTGCAACAACAAAAAGAAATGATTAAGGAAGACCTTGAAAATGTAATACATTTGATAATACAAATGTAAATACTACCAGATTTAATGATTCTTTAATCCAGATTTTAAAACAAAAATAAAACTTTATAGGTGTCTCTCTCTCTCTCTCTCTCTCTCTCTCTCTCTCTCACACACACACACACACACACACACACAACACACATAACCTAGTACTCCTACAAGGATAATAGGCTGAATATCATCTGTCACCCTATTACTTAGCAGAGCTAATTCCACTGCTGTAATTCAGCAGTTCTAGGAAACTACCATAATCACACCATTATTTTTATGACATCTTATTCTCTGTTTTTACTTTACTTTTTCATCTGCTACCATACTTAATCATTTGTCTATGTGTAATGTGTGATGTTTTAGCTAACAAAATGTTTCCATCACAAAAAAGGGGATAAAGAAAGCTAATAGAAATGGCAGAATATATCATGAGCAATTTGAAATAATTCTCTTCAAATCTCTCCTAACAACAGCCCTCTTACATAATTTTAAAATGTTTGCATCATGTCAAATATTCTACTGTTTAATTACATACATGTGAAAACATTCTGGAAGTGCCTCAAGAAATAACTTCCACAACAAAATCTTAAAGTAGTTAAATTTTTAAAGCATTAAAAAATAAAATTAACATTAATAAATAAAATTAATATATAAAAAAGTTATAAATTTCTAAATTTACTATGTCATTTAACTAGAGTCAAACAACCAAAAAAATTTTTTCAGGTTGTACTAAAAGTCACCAAGGCAAAATTGTCCCAATCATTAAAAAATATGAATTTCTGAGTACACAGGTATACTATGTTAAGCATCATGCCTCCAGTTGCTTGAAATGTAAACAGAATGAATAAATAAGCACTATGTAAGTACAGACATGAATCAGTTTTCTTAATATCTAATGCTTACATTATCATTTTGGAAAGTTATAATTATAGTCTAAGTCCTATTGTATTTGTCTTTGGGATTTATTTTCCTACTAATCTTATGGGATAACCAGCATTGACACACTGATGAGCCAATTGTGGGATTGCCCTGATGCCTGGTAGGAAATCACTTGTATGCAATGGTTGCCTGCATATATACTACTAGGCAAGGTAACCCAGAAGTAAGGGAACAGAAAGGCCCTACAGACAAAAGTAAAATTCTTAAAATCACACTTTGGTGGATTTTTGGTTTGCTAAATCAATTTAAAGCACACTCAAGAGGCAAGAAGAAAAGAAATCAGGAGGTTAGCACATTAGGATAGAGCACAGTTGGGGTAGAAGGACCTGGCCAGCTAATTCTGTGGGTACATAGTATTTATAAGCCTTGATTATCTGTCTGCCACATTTATATTCCTGCTGATGGTGGGATTTTAAGGGTCAGAGTTGAGGTTTTGGCAAGTCACTTGGATAGGAGGTAACCTTCGCTAATGATACACACATGCTGTATCTGAGACACACACAGGGACATGGTCAGGAATTATAGCTTGCCAAAGCTTAGCTTGATAAACAGGAATGAATTCTACTTGTGACTTTTTTGGGCAGAGCAAGCATTGAGCAGGAATGGATGGCAGCAGTTTTAGCCGGGGTGATTTAATCTCCCATTGTATATTTGGCAATATCTGGAGACATTTGATTGTCATGACTTGTGTGTGGATGTGTGATGCTACCAACGTGTAACAGATAGAAACCATAGATGTTGTTAAACATGCTACAATGCATAAGATACTCCCCAAGACAGAGAATGATCTCATCTAAAATGTCAGCACAGAAATTGAGAGGATGACAACAATTTTGTGTTACCAGTAGGTGGTTAAGACTTCATAAATAAGAAAACAAATAACTCAACCAAAAACCAGGCAGAATAGCTAATAATACTTTGCCAAAGAAAGCACATTTGAAAAGATGTTCAATATCATTTATCATCAGGAAAATACAAATAAAAGCCACAAAAAGGTAAATACCATATTCTCATGAGATGGTTCATATAGGGGGAAAAAACAAAGGGAAACAACAAATATTGGCAAGGGTATAGAGAAAAAGGAATCCTCTTACACTGTTGGTGGGAATGTGTACTGGTTTAGCCCCTATGGAAAACAGCATGGGGGTTCCTTAAAATATTAAAAATAGATCTACCACATGATGCAGCAATTTAGCTTCTTGGTATTTCACCAAAGAATGCAAAAACACTAATTTGAATGGATAGATGCAATCCTATGTTCATTAGAGCACTATTTGCAATAACCAAGCTATGGAACTAACTTATACTCCCAAGGACAGTAAGTGGATTAAGAAGATGTGGTAAATATATGCAATGGGATATTATTCAGTTATAAAAAAGGAGTGAAATCTTGCCATTTGTGAAAACATGGATGGAACTGGAGGGTATTATGCTAGGTGAAATCAAGAAATCAAGAAATGAAACAAACTTTAAAAATATGACTGCAGAACTGAGGCTACAGAGAGGGATGGTGGGGAGTATGGAGCAAAGTACAAAGGATGCCCAGTGGACTATGGTGGAGGACTATGGTATGAACCTATTCCTCTTAGATCACATACAGTGTTGTAAATCACTGTGATCTCAATAATAATCATAACCATAATCATAAAAGACTTCATAGACATTAAGTGCTTATGTAAAAATCTATCCTGGAATTTTAGTGTCTCACTTATTTTTCAATATCATGAATTTTTATGCCTAGTTGATACATGAAAATCAGGTATCTTTTGGCTACCCCTCCCTTTCTATTAATGTGAAATATATATGCAATGTTCTTAGTTCAACTTTATTTGATTTTGTCCAGGTTTAACAAAATTTTCTTACTAGCTACTTATCTATACTAGCATCTTAAAAGTGTTTGCCTATAGGGCCTCCCTGGTGGCGCAGCGGTTGAGCGCTGGGTCGTGAAGCTGCCCACAGCCTCTGCAGCGCCAGTTCAATCCCCGGCTGCCAGGCGAGGGTCCCACATGGCACGCAGACCTCTCCTGCCACCCGCTGCTCCCCTCAGCAGTGTACTTCGTCAGTCTACCTGCTCTGCTCTCCGCTCTGGCTCTGGTGAATTCTCTCACCCTCCCGCGCTTCTGACTGTACCCAGTGATTGTATAAATAAATAAATAAATCTTAAAAAAAAAAAATTCTAATCTTAAAAAAAAAAGTGTTTGCCTTTATTCTGTAAAACTTAAATTCACTCATCTAACAATCACACAGTTGCTAAAATTCACACTGCACATCCAATAAATTTCTTTTTTTAAAAAAAATTTATTTATTTATTTATTTATTTATTTATTTATTTATTTATTTATACAGCTTTGCAACCCAGCGCTCAATCGCTGCGCCACTGGGGAGGCCCATCCACTAAAATTTCTAATGAGAAAGAAGATATGAATGTCTTGATTGGTTAAGCTACTTTTCAGTCACATTTCTACAACATATAGCTTAGAACATTCTGCGGTAGGTGGCCAGTTAGGAGGCCTAAACTGGCTCCTGTTAAGCCCTGAGTTGACTGCTTTAATTCTAAGCATCCCATGCAAGTAAAAATATCATAAGGTAAAAAAAAGTATTATATTTTTTTAAAAGTCAGTAATCTATTCACAAAAAGTTCCTTGCATTTATCTTCTTGAGTATGAATTACATTACTTAGCCAAGCAAAATCTAATCCTTTGACAAAGACATTTTTCTTTGAACTATCAAGATTCTCCTCTTCCAAGGCCCTCCCTTAAACCTCATGGTTGCTCAGGGAGAATCAAACGATCTTAGGGGAGGAGGGTGGTGGAGAGACTAGCTATTGTAGAGCCAACCAACGGAGGTCTTTTTTTTTTTTTTTTTTTTTAATCATAGGTATGTCAGATATCACAAATTTTCAGAAGTTTCTAATAAGATAATGAAGATTAAGGTAAATACATGCTTCAAGTAACACTTGCCATTGCTCTTGCATCAATACCCCAGCCTGTTAGCCAAGGGCATACCTCAAACAAGAAACGGGCCATTCAGATATTGCAGAAGTCTCCCCCAACCTTGCTCTCAGACTCAAACAACTTCTCTAGAAGTGGGAGAAAAAAATTACCAAATAAGAAGCAATGTTAATAGCAGAGTCAGTCAAGTTTCTCCTCTTTGGAACCTGAACTAGTAAATTCAGGGGAAAATAAAAATCAACCTATGAAGGAAAATAGAAAGATAAAATTAGGCAGACACTTGAAATTGAGTTGTGCCCATGATGAATATCAGAGTTAAAGTCCCAAAACAATTTCTTATGGCCTTAGTGTCAGAAGAACCCATCCCTGATGCTGAATATCTGTGGGCCCCTTTTTCCATCACTGTCATATGATTACATCCCTATTATTAGAGGTAGCATCACTGAAATCAAAAGCACCTACATAAAATATTCCTTAGGAAAGGATAAGTAGCTGTAGTGGTGGTACTAGTAATAACAATTTTTTAAACAACATTTATGTCTACCAGATTTTCAAATTTCAAGGGGATATTTTCCTATGAATTATAAAATCTAGAAATTCAGTGAGTGTGAGTCACTACATGAATATAATTATAGCGGAGAAAACCCTCTGCTTAGGAATTATGCAGCTATTTCAATCAAGCCTCTGTATCTACAAGTATTGCTGAAAAGGTTTCATGTAATTTAAGCCAAAAACAGAGCATGCAATTTGGCTTTGTTTGTTTGCAGTATTGTGAAAGTGTGCTAAGTATTGTTATTTTAATTATTAGGCTGAAAAACCTATTTAAAATGTCACTTTTCCCTCTAGTGAAGCATAAACTCCTGCTACCACCAACTTAGAAGCTAAGTTAATTTTCTTGAAGCCTTTAGAGATAATCAAAATCACCTTATTATTTACCCTTCTATGATCACTGTTAATAGGTAAGTAGGGATCTACTTAAAAAAATTTAAGTGTAAGAAAATAAAGGCTCTCCTTAACATATGGAAAATTTTATTTTACTGTAAAACAAATTGACGAGGC